GGGGGGCAGGCTGATACTGAAGGTCCTGTGTCACCTGTACTTAAGGTAAATCACCTCAGGGGACAGGCTGTGTCACCTGTACCTGGGGGAGGTCACCTCAGAGGACAGGCTCACACTGAAGGTCCTGTGTCACATGGACTTAAAGTAAATCACCTCAGGGACAGGCTGTGTCACCTGTACCTGGGGTAGGTCACCTCAGAGGGCAGGCTAACACTGAAGGTCCTGTGTCACCTGTACCTAGAGTAGGTCACCTCAGAGGGTAGGCTGATACTGAAGTTCCTGTGTGCACCTGCACTGAGGGTAAATCACCTCAGGGGACAGGCTGTGTCACCTGTACCTAGGATAGGTCACCTCGGGGGCAGGCTCACACTGAAGGTGCTGTGTCACCTGTACTGAAGATATATCACTTCAGGGGACAGGCTGTGTCACCTGTACCTAGGGTAGTCACCTCAGAGGACAGACTCACACTGAAGGTCCTGTGTCACCTGCACTGAAGGTAAATCACCTCAGGGGACAGGCTGTGTCACCTGTACCTAGGGTAGGTCACCTCGGGGGAGCAGGCTAACACTGAAGGTGCTGGGTCACCTGTACTTAAGGTAAATCACCTCAGGGGACAGGCTGTGTCACCTGTACCTAGGGTAGGTCACCTTGGGGGCAGGCTCATACTGAAGGTGCTGTGTCACCTGTACCTAGGGTAGGTCACCTCGGGAGCAGGCTCATACTGAAGTTGCTGTGTCACCTGTACCTAGGGTAGGTAACCTCGGGGGCAGGCTCATACTGAAGGTGCTGTGTGCACAGTGCCACTAGAGATTTCACATGAGTTAATGGCCCTGTTCCCCAGTGTTGGTAACTTTCCCTTCAGATAAACTGCCAGAAATCCCACAGAGAGGGGTCCGGACAGGAGCCGCAGCCACCCCTGAAGAGTTTGCAGCCATTGCACAGGTATGCCCCATAGTTGTGGGTTCTTTCTGCCCCACAGATGTGGGTTATGTGTCTCCCCCACTGTGAATCTAGGTCTGACTCCGTGGTGTGGGTCTAGGTCTGCCCCCCAGGTATGGGTCTGGGTATGTCTCCCAGGTGTGGATCTATGTCGTGACCCAGGTGTGGGTCCATGTCTGCCCCCCAGGTGTGGATCTGTCTGCCCTACAGATGTGGGTTATGCCTGTCCCCCAAGTGTGGATCTATGTCACCACCCAGGTGTGGGTCATGTCTGCACCCCAGGTGTGGATCTGTCTGCCCCCCCAGGTATGGGTCTGGGTATGTCCCCTAGGTGTGGGTCTATATCACCACCCAGGTGTGGGTCTAGGTCTGCCAACCAGGTGTGGGTCAATGTCTGCCCCCCAGGTGTGGATCTGTCTGCCCTACAGATGTGGGTTATGCCTCTCCCCCAGGTGTGGATCTATGTCACCACCCAGGTGTGGGTCATGTCTGCACCCCAGGTGTGGATCTGTCTGCCCCCCAGGTATGGGTCTGGGTATGTCCCCTAGGTGTGGGTCTATGTCACCACCCAGGTGTGAATCTATGTCGCCACCCAGGTGTGGGTCCATGTCTGCCCCCCAGGTGTGGGTCCATGTCTGCCCCCCAGGTGTGGGTCCATGTCTGCCCCCCAGGTGTGGATCTGTCTGCCCTACAGATGTCGGTTTTCCTCTCCCCCAGGTGTGAATCTAGGTCTGCCTCCCTGGTGTGGGTCTAGTGTGGGTTTAGGTATGACCCACAGGTGTGGGTCCATGTCTGCCCTTCAGGTGTGGATCTGTCTGCCTCCAGGTGTGGGTCTAGGTCTGCCTTCCAGGTGTGGGTCTAGTGTGTGTCTAGGTCTGCCCCCCAGGTATGAATCTGTATCTGCCCCCAAGGTGTGGATCTGTGTCTGCCCCCAGGTGTGTGTTTAGGTTTGCCCCTTAGGTGTGGATCTGTGTCTGCCCCACAGGTGTGGATCTGTGTCTGCTCCCAGGTGTGTGTCTAGGTTTGCCCCTTAGGTGTGGGT